GCCAAGAAGGTTTTAACACTCCTAAACCTGAAGCGCAACATCTTATAAAGATCAAAAGCGAAGATGCCAGCTGCACGTGGGAGGAGCTCGCCAACACCCCTAAATAAGCCCAGACCTCGGCGTAGGAGGGTTTGCTTTTGAAGTACTGTGTGGTGTGTGCGCGCCGGTGCGGAGATATTGATTGTTCGGGGTGTCCACGAAACAGTGTCGTGATCATCCCCCGAAAAAGCTTCCCCCACCCAATTTCGAGTTTTCGCCGAAAGCCTCCGAAATCGCGAAAGCACTGTAAATACCGAGTGAAACGACGCTTGTGGAGATTTTGTTCGTTGTGTCTGTGTAACAATGTCGTCATCATCCCCCCCACCCCCCCCCACCCCAATCCGAAGCCCAATTTTTTCAAAATCCAGAAGTGGATTCTGAGGCAAGAAGAAGTGGTATGACACGAAGAACGTACCGTAAATACCGAGTAAAACGGATGTGCTGTTAAAAGGGTTTTGTTTGTAGCAGAGGTGGTTGGTAGGGGGGACTGCCTACTACTACTACTACTACTACTACTGCTACTGCTACTGCTACTGCTACTGCTACTCCTACTACTACTACTACTACTACTACTACTACTACTGCTATTCCTGCTGCCACTACTACCAGTACGACTACCAGCCCTCTCTCCAACCTCATGTCGCTGAAACCGTTAGGCAAACAGGGAACAGCACGGAGGAAAGTGCATCCTAAAGGAATCGACACCCCGGAGGCGCAGAAATTAACAATATGCAATAAAGCCGGAAAGCAAAACTTGATAAATCGCGGAGCACGCGAGGAATCATCATCTTCTTTTCTTTAAGCGGAATCGGGCACGCTTCATGGCAGTTTTGCCGCCACGGTCGCTGAGAATGCGGCTGGCACGAATGTCCCTTGAGAGTGCGAACTCCACGTTTGATTAGAAAGCGCCTGTGTGCAGAATCGATGTCTCCGGACGGCAGATAGGATAGTTAAAGCATTTGGCGAATTCATGTCGATGGGTCACTTGTTGACTTCAGTCGTCCAGTGTGTTCGGGAGCGACGGGACTTCGGTGGTCCAAGCTTACTGCTGCCCTGAATCGCAGCGGCTACTGGCAGCCGAGGAATGATTCCATGTAATTATCTCATTGTCGAGTCGATCCATGTTGTCTTGAAGCAAGTCTAGGTCAGGAACATTTATCGAACCCGTATCTCCAGCACGAACTTGGAGATCCGATTCACGCGCAAAAGCACAGCTGCATTCTCAAGGTTTGGCCTCAGTTGGGTTGTAAGCAAATTGCGGTCGGTACCTGAGCAATGGCAATTGCCAGCAGCATCTTCTTCATCTTCATCAACATCATAACATGATTATGGAATATTTCTTGTTGGCCATGGCACCGCGAGCTCTAACCGCAAGCCAGGAATGGGAGCAGACGCCCCCCCCGGCTTACAGAGCAGCACTCAACCCGGTGATGCTCACGCGACAAGGGGAGGTTTGGAGGGAGAAGCAGAAAGGCTCCTCCTTCTGCTACTACTACGACTCCTACTGCCAAAACTACCACACTACTCCTACTGCCACATCTATCACTACCACGGCTACTAATATTTTTCCGGTTCTCAGCTGATGCAAAATCCGAGCTTGGGTCTCCAATTGGACCGAGGTGATATCATGGACACACCTGGCTATCAAGGTCCACTGCCCGGATCTCGGACGGCACAAGCAGCGGTTATGCCCTTTCTGTCAGCAGGCTATGAGAATGGCGCTTCAATGGCCCGCACATACGCATTCAACTGTAGACCGCTAGTTGTGTTTGCAAGCATGTGTTTGCGGAGATCCTCATGTTTCCAATTGCAATCGATACGCAAGTTCCGCAATGTGGTTGGGAGGCCTGGTTCCATCGTCCACACCGAGGATGTGCCAACCTGCTGGGTTCTGTTTGCATTTCTTTGTGCTTTGCTTTGCTCACTCTTCTAGAGTCTAGAGTATCGAAATGGCTTTCATGAGAACAATATCAGAGTCTGAAACACTTTTCTTATCAGCTCCTGCATCCTGTCCGAGAGTTCGGACAGCTGGTGGCTGAGCTGCGCAGTTTCAGGTGCCACTGGCCGGGCGCCATGCCATACCCGGCTACTCTGGGCACATTCCGGGCAAGGCGACTCGCTCTCGAGACCGCAACGGAACAGTCACAACTCTTCAAGGAAAGGGCGAACATTGCTTTAATACTTTAATATAAACTTTGCAGTACTGCTTGCAGAAGCAGGCCAGCATGACCGTTACCGAGTGCTTTCTAGCTTAAGCTACATGCCCGGACTTCAATCTGAGATCTTGGAAATCGTACCATCTTCTTCCGGAGAGTGGGATACCTGCCTGTTGCATCCTGCTGCAGTCGCGCGCGAACGAACCAATTTCCAAACTAAGCTGTCCTGCCTCAGGGGCCCGAAGGATCCAACATGGGCAAGCGCTTTGCTGCAGCCAACGAGCATGGCTTCCGCAGCTTGCGAGGTGCGATGGGCGATGATGGGCGTTGCGTGCACTCGTCAACAATTGCAGCTGTTGTAATTTGACAGACCTTTTATGACCTTTTCTTGGACTCACATGCGCGTGGCTTATTAATGTCTGTTGGCAGCATTCCATGTCCGGAAGGCCCACCTGAGAATAGAAGCGTCCTCTCGGCCTCGATAATCATTTCGGGCAGGGTGTGTGCGTTGCTACTGTTCCGTTGGGTCATTGGGGTCATCTCATGGCCCAAGTTGAAGCCAGCATGTCTTTGTGCACTCCCTTTTTCCTGCTAGTGACTCCTTCGCAGCTGCTTTGCACCCCTCGAGAGCTTGTTTGACCTGGTAGATATTGGCACATGGAAAGTCTAAGTTCGCGGCAGTTTGGGAACAACTTCCTTGTGCCGTGACTTCTCACAGTAGAGGCGTCGAGCCTTTGTTGTCCTTGGCAAGTATTTGCCAACACGACCCCACCATCACCGACAAAGGTGCATGAATGAGTCTTCCTGCATGGAGTGCGTTGTGCTCGGAGAGGTTCCAAGTCATTCTGCATGAGCTGCACTTGTCGCAAATGGATTTGAGTATGTTACAGTTGTGGTATGTTGCAGAATGTCACTGTTGGAACAAGGTTTTGATTCTGCTCGTCGGCGTCAAGTTGCCATCGCCTAGCTTGTTCCAAATGCAAGGAGAAAAGCACAGTGCGACTTGAATGACAGCTACCCTAAACATGGCGGCAGGCGAAACATCGCGAGCGCAGGCGCGATGATGCACTTTGCAATTAGGTGCAGATCAGGCAGAAACCAAATGTTTCAGGGCCATCCCGCAAGCAATTGCGAATTCACAGGCTTCAAACCATCGAAAGTGTCGAGATCCTCACGGCACCTCGGAAGAAATGGTTTGGTCTTTGGTAGTGCACCCTCGTCATGGCTTGCTAGGCACGTCTGACTACCAAGTTGCAGTGCTTGCCTGAAGACAGAAACCGGACTGAGGCAACATCCCAGGTTACAGCGGCCAGATACTGAGTTGGACGTTCGATAGATATTCTTGCAGCTGCCCTGGCACTCGGCTCCCTGCAGCTATGGGGCGTCACAGCGACACTGACTCTGAAGAAGAATCAACCCCATGCTTTTCGAGGTCACATCCCCGGCAAGCTGGAGGACACTGCTAGCTGCCAGCACATTGCATGAACTCCCCGAAACCGGTGGGGGTCGCTCCTTGAATGAAACCCGGCTCCTGTTCGCAAATACCTTACTCCTTCAAAAGTCGATTTTGGAGTTTCTCAAGCTGCGTCCTTCCACGAAGATGGTATTCTGACCGAGTCCTCAAAGGTGAACTGATCCAGCCCCCTTTTTGCAAGCAGGGTTGCGAGAATCACGTTTGATGTGCCAACAAGTGCAATGCCAGAGCGAGGCCCAAGGACTCCCCGCTTTGCTTTGATGTCCAAGGTTCTGCCAACGCTGGTGGACGTGCTTGCTTGCGCTCTATCCCCATCTAAGACACCCCCTCAAAGCTGGTGCCTGCTCCCTCAGCCCTCTTACGATGCTGCACAACACTAGGAAGTGCTGTCGGCAGCTTAGCAAGGGGCCATACGGTAGGTCATGATATGCTTTAAGTGCAAACTCATGCCCCGGTACAGCGACGAGACTACAAGCAAGCCGCTGCAGGATAGCTTCGGCGCCACATGGCACTCCGTCAACCTGCGGCTGGCCTCTGCTGACTCTAAAGTCCCGATGTCGACCCCTCGTGCGGAGGCCTTCACCGCTTGCTGCGCTAAGCTGGGTTGAATTGTTCGCATGATTAGACAATAGCATCATATCACCCGAGTTTCCTCATCCGTCAAGGTCAGTTTGTTTCTCCGTGGGGCCCAAGTCTGTGCAGTAGCTGCTGGTCTTCACGCCCCTGTGCTACTACTATTGGTTCATATTGGTTCTGTTCAGAGGACTTAGGAGAAGTGCTCAGCACCTTGAGCGGTGCAACCGCGGTGGGCCCACACCCTGTAACAGCGAGCTCTGACAAGTGATGCTTCGACAGCAGGGTGGGAATGGTGGGGGTACGATGGCCCTCTGAGCCGGAGCTTTCAGCGCGTGGCGCCTTGCTTGGTTCCAAAATGTGCAGACGGTAGGGGCTCTATGCCCCCCAGGCTCAGCGTGATAATTTTGGCTTTGTGTCAAAACGATGCTTTGGGGTGTCGGAGACATCTGAGCCTCTAAGCATGTTGGGGTCCAGTCATGTGGTGCCAGATTGAAGACCAAGTGGAATAGGCACACTGAATCGGAGATTGCTTTGCCAAGGCCGGCTGCGTTCTCTTGTTCGCATGTCGAGAAAGTTTAGCAAGATACCGGGTGGCAATTTGCTTAGTTGTGCTGTTTCAAGGATTCAGCACAAGATTTCCCAGCATGTGCAGCTTATGCAACGTTGATGGAATGCTTTCCTTGCTACGACTGGAATGCTAACAGACCTATGGAGGTCCGACCAGGTGAGTGGGTTGGTCCCTCAGTTGTGCAATCCAGCACGACATTTCTGGCTGATTCCATGAAGGAATGCCTCAAGCAAGCAGTCTGGAGTTTGGTGTAGGCGGCACCTCTTGCTAGCACGCCGATGCTTACGCCGCGCGACCGGCTTCGTCGTCAGTCGGTCGGTCTGCCGGTCAACCGGTCAGAAGCCATGGGGAATTATTAGAGTATAGCAGAGTCTGAGTAGCACTGCACGCAAGCACGGTATGTTCATGCCATTTCGTGCTTTGTTGCGTGATTAGCTGACTTTGCTTTCAGAATTTCATCAGCTATCGGACATCCCCATCCTTCTTTGTTCCGTAAGTCTCGCAGTGCGTCGCTCGGTTCAAGGGTGCCTCTCTGGATCCTCAATCGCCTCAATTACAACCCACCCATCCCGCCACCCACACCCACCTGAGATTTCGGTGGTCTGGAGGGCCAGGAAATGCCTCGACTCCACCCATCCCACGCATCACCACACCAGGTCCACAGCAACTCTCCGGCTTGCACGTGACGTTTGCAGAAGTAATCTGTGTGAAGCGATGTCTAAGTTTCCCCTCCGATATCTTCTGGCGGCTCTAGCGAGCTGGGAACTGCAAGTTTGCAGCGGTCTGTGGGCCGGAGTCGGGATTATGAGGGTCACTCCAGTCCGAGTGTGAGCATCAATCAATATTCACTGTAAACGGTGCTGGAGCCCACGGTCAAACCACAACAGCTGCCAACGAAGCAAGAATTGTGTGTCAAAGATTGCAGGTTTCTATAGAAAGCGCGGGCTAGAACAAAGACTGGCATAGCGAAGGCAGCCTCTCAGAGAAGGCCACGCTCCAAGCAAGAGCGAAGCAGATCACTTGAGATGGAGACGTCAAGCCAGGCTTACACCTGTGGAATGACGTGACTGCGCCACGCATTTGGGGTCATTTTGGCGCGGGCACAGCAAAGGAAGCCAAGGCAGAAAAACAATGCTGAACCGCTATCTGGTTAGCAGTTGCCAGTTGCTGTCCCCAAACGAGAACATCCAGGAATTGTATCCACCGAGACAGCCGAGCACAGTCATATTCGAGATTGCTGCGTGCTGTCTGACACGCTGCCCTTAAATGCTGAAAGCTGCCGTGGGTGCGCGGAAGAGTTTTGTCCTAGTAACAAAGATGGCTGAGTGTTTGTGCTCGCGATTGAAGTCACGATGGCCGTGCGCACGTGGGGAGAATGGGCACATGTCGGGGAACTCTGGCTGCGCACCTCCTCCAAAGAACCCCTTGTGCCACGTGCCACAACTGAAGCGAATTTGGCAAGCCGTCTCCATGAAAAGGTTATTCTTCTCGAGTCACAGCACAGCAGGGCTGATTATCCCAAAGTGTCTTTGGCCCCGCGGGTGTTATCGGGTGTTCCGTTGCATAGAGGTGACGGTGACTGCACGCACTTCAGGCGCATGGGAGGTTGTGTCAAGGTCAGATTCGAATCCTGTAACAGCAGCAGCGCATTTTGATGGTCCCCTGTGTCCGATGCATCACCTATAGATAGTTGAATCGTTCGTGGTTTTCGGGGGGGTTCTACCCCTCAGATGTTGCAGAGCGACATCGACATGCAGAAGCTCACTATCAGAAGTTGCTTGCGAATAGCATTTCTGGATGCGAGTCTCAGGCAAGATCTGAGCGGCGGCCGCTTGCGCCCGAAGCGGCAGCGGCCTCGATCTCTGGCCACGGATTCTGCTTGAGACTGTGAAGTCTGCAGCTGTTATGTGGGCACATTGCTTCGCCATGCTTCGCCTATGATGACAGGGATCGGCGTTACGCCCAGGGACAGGCAAGCCGTCAGCTTCCATGATGCATCATGTTGCCAGGATGTGCTCAAGCGAAAACTGTAAATTGTCACCACATCTCACTACAAGTAGGAAGCACGGCGAGGACTGGATGCGCATTGCTTGATGATGCTGATGCTGGGTGTTTCGACGCACCAATGTCAAGGCCAGGCAGCTTCGGCTGTTCCCGGTTACTCGGGGCATGTGCCAGGCAGATGCCTCAGCATACATGACGACTCGCTTGGGACACCTGCAGTGGTTCTCACATGCAAACTGGCCATCTTGCGTGATTGAAGCCTGAACTGCACAGTGGTCCCCTTGGCAGACTGCCGGATCTGTCACCGAACAGACCGAACAGTCGAGGTGAAGCCATCAGCCATTTCGAAACTTTGCAAAACGCGTTGATCCAGGTCAACTGCTGCGAAAGATTCGGTAGTCGGAAAAGGGCAAATCACCAACTTCACTCCAAATAGCTGCGGCTGGGCTACTGAGCGAGCTCCCCAGAAAGAGCCAAGGCAAGCTTTCCGAGAACATTGTCGGCCAGCCTGCCCTGTAAGAGTACTTCAAGTGATAGTGCAATCCCAAATTGCAACAGAGAGACCGAGCGACACAGTGCCAGGTGCCAGATGCGCAGCGGCGAATGCTATAGCGGCAACCGCCGAGCAAATGACCAAGCGAAGCGAAGCATCATGAAATAGTTCGTCACTTCTTCAAAGAAATCATCAGCCAACTGGGTGCAATGCTCCTGCCACAAAACCTGCAGGCTTGGCACCATCACGTGGTCTTTGCCTCAACATCCGCAAGAATTAAACATGAAAAGCTGGCTGTGCAGAGATGCCCAAGGCAACGCACTGATGCACCGGGCGTCGGGAGCTCGCGTTCAGAGCATCGTCAGATCCCTTTCAGACTTTCCCTGTATCGAGTCGCTCTCTGTTGTTTGGTTGTAGCTGCAACAACCTATCTCTCGAGAAAGCCGGGGGTTCGAGTCGCTCTTTGTGGTGTAGCACACGTGTGTGCG